AGATCGGCGCTTATTCTCTGGGGGCGGCTGTGAAGGGACCGGAGGAGGGACAGCCCTGGGGACCGCGACACTCGGGATAGGTGGTGGTACATTAGAGGGAGCTTCAGCGATAGGAGACTGAAGGGTGTTATCTTCCAGGCTGGAATCGCGAGCGTGGGCCTTCAAGGCATCCTTATGAGGGACCGAGGAGGCAATATCTGTATCGTAATCACCCTCATACTCGGTAACCTCTTCGTCTCCTTCCTCACCAGCCTGGGACGGCCTCGTTGGGGTTGGCGTCTGAGTATCTTGAGTTGACTGTCTTCGAAGCGCCCCTGGGGGAGGTGGAGGAGGAGGTCGGCTCTGCGAGGGGAGAGCTGGTGCAGATCCAGGAATGGGAGGCGGCGGCCGGCTTAGTCGCTTGTTGGCCGTAGAACTAGGAGAGGCAGGGCTAAACTCTTCGGGATCGTGGGATGTAGAGGGAGATCGTACGGGTAAAACAGGGGGTTGAACTGGTATCGGCGGCATAGGAGGAGATCGTGCAGTAAGCACAGGCATTTCCCTCTCGCTCTCTCGGCCACCTCCAGAAAGCTCATCACCAGACTCGGAGCCTTCAGTTTGAGACTTCAAGTCTGAAGGGGGAGGAGGTGGGGGAGGTCGAGCTATAGAGGAGTTAGATCCGGATCTTATTTAAGAACGAGCTTTAACTTACCGTCAGACGGCACAGGAGGCGGCGCTGGTCGGCCGCCAGGAATAGGGGGTGGTCCTGCGGGGTCCCGCGGGGGAACTGAATAAAGGTGAGTAAGGTGGGTGCTGGATGAGATATAGTGACACGTACTTGTAGGGGCTGAGGGAGGAGCAGGAGTAGTCTCGCCCTCCTCATCCGTATCGTCTTCCCTCTCCTCCACTCGAGGTGGCAGAGATGGCACGGGTGGTGGTGGCGCTCGAGCAGCTGGTTCGGGCTCCTCTTCAGGGCGAGTCAACTCCTCTGACTTCCTAGGACCTCCCAGTCCTGGAAGGGCCATCATAGTAGGGATGGGCGGAGCAGCATAAGACACAGGTGATGCTTCCTCTACGCCCTCATCGATAGATGTTCGCTCAGGCTTGGGTGCCTTCTTCTTCTTGGGAGGAGGAGCAGGGGCGGGCATGGGTGCACCGAACATGCCGTGGAAACCCATACCGCCGCTCATCTTGGCCATTCTCGCCCTCAATTCTTCCTTGCGCTTGACCTCAGGGTCGACATCCTCCTCTTCCTCTTCTTCCTCCTCCTCGCCACCACTCTCTTCTTTCTTTGGTGCCTCAGGGGGAGGACCGGTATGTACGGGCAAAGTAGGCGCCCTCGAGGCACGTCGAGACACGCCATCACTATCATCGCGCTCCGTCAAGTCATCGTTGCCCTCAGTTGTATCGCCGGCCCCAGACATATCCGCCTCATTACCATCATGTATGGGTTCCGCGGGTCCCTTAGACGATTTGCGGCGCGGGGCAGGTGGCATGCGGTTCGGCCGGGGTTCATCTGTAGATGTCCTGACGCCTGAATCCTCGGTATCTCTGCGCTCAAGAGGAGCAGGAGGTTGCTGTGGTGCCTCCTCCGCTTCACCCAGGGCTTCGGCATGCCCAATACTCTCGCGCTTCTTTTGAGGCTTTTTGGGCTTCTCCTTCTTGGCAGCAGCAGCAGCATCGGCATGTCGCTGTGCCTGTTCCAACTGCTGCTTTTGTAGAAGAGCAATGCGCTCTTTTAGGCTAGTAGGCTTGGGTTGATCCTCATTACCACCCTCCTGGCTCTCAGCCGGCACAAGGCCGGCCCTCTCGGCTTGTCCCTGGGTCTCAGCTTCCCTCTCTTTGATTTCAGGATCCTCATCTCGGCGGTAGACCTTTGCAGTCGGAGTTTGCTGCGGGGGAGGCACATAGGCATGCCTGCTCGGAGGAGGGGCAACGAACGGCTTTCTAACAAAGCCCGACCCCGAGCCGCCGAGGCCGCTGGGCTTGAACGGCGCGATGGGAGGCGCTGCGGGTTTATTAAAGGCCGCAATGCGATCCTTGAACGAGCTGCTCTTTGGCTTCTCCGACACGGGAGGCGGACCGGGCTTGGGCTTGGGAGGAGGAGCTGCGGCAGCTGGAGCTGGAGCTGGAGCGGGGGCTGGAGGCTCAGTAACTTTGGGAGCTGCGGGCGGGGGAGCCGGTGCAGACACGGGCTCAACAGGCTTTGGTGGTGCAGGCTCCGGGACAGCCGGGGCAGGAGGTTCGGGAGAAGCAGACTTGTGAACGGGCTCGTGAACCTCTTCGATCTCGGGCTCGGGCTCGTGGACGGGTGCTGGAGGAGGCGCTTGTTGCGCAGGTGGCGGTGGGGGAGGAGCAGCGATATCTTCGACGGGCTGGGCAGCTTCGGGTTCCTTCTTGTGGCGAGTACGAGTAGGACGAGGAGGCGCGGTAGGCTCGAACTTTTCGACAAAGTTGCGAGGAAAGATGCCCTCTTGCTTCACGCCATGGTCATCGAGGTATTCCCCGCCATACCAGTCGTCGTCCTCTTGGTCGGTGACAGTAATGATCTGCCCAGTACCAAAGTTCAGGTCGTCCTCGTGAGGGGACGAGTACTCGTAAAGGGCCTTGACCTTGAACGGTGCAGCCATGTTGATGGTGATCCTTGAGGGAGCTCTCTCGCAGAACGAATACTGCCCGAGGCCGGATCAAAGCTACTCGAGGCGTGTGGCTGTATGGAGCGGAAAGTACGTGGATGCTCGCAGGTCGACAGCTCGCCTGGTTGTGGGGCAGACAGGGGCGTCGTCAGCCCGTCGAATCGGGGAGGAATAGCGAGGATGAAGCTATGCTGGAGACGACGGACAGGACGGAGGGGATTGGCGAGTCTCCTATCGTAATGATGAATATTAGGTGTGATGCTTGAGCTCGGAACAAAAAGGTGAGCAGAAAGGGAGATGCGAGTCGCAGCAAGGAGGCGGCGGCGGGTGGTGGTGGTGTTTAGCGGGAAGGCCCAACCTGGGGCGTGCGTTTGTCGACGTCAGCGCTCCAAGCCCGTCACTCGATCCATCCCACGGCTAAATAAAAAAGGTGTTAGGCGCGGGCAGAGCAAAGTTACGTCGTACTGTACTTGGAGAGGCCGAGGATGATCCCGAAAGGCGGGTGAAGAAAGAGATTATGATGCAGAATAAAAACAATCGAAGGCAAGAGGACACGGATGCAAGTAAGTAGGCAGTGAATCACTTGCTCTTTGTTGTTGGTTCCATGGATGTTGAACGTTGGCTGCTTGCATCTGTTAATAGCAGTGGCCGAGCAGCCCGAGAGGTACAGCCCGTGGAAACCTGGGGCAAGAAACAATGCCTGGGCTTCTAAAACAAGCCAGGCATAAAGTACCTTTAAGCTCGTGTATCAGCCTAATGGTACTTGTCAACTACAGCTTATTTCCCAGTCGCCTCATGTAACGCTCAATTCTGAGCTCGAAGGACCAAGTACCCTTGCTTTAGCAAGGACTGCTCCTCGGGCTGTGCAGCAATGCAACATCCATGATAGCACCACTTCAGATTGATGAGTACCTACCTAGCCAGCCAGCCACACACACCTCAAACGCTCGTCCTGCGTTTCGACATGACCCCAAGTGATTGGCCTGGACACCTGATTCTAATCTGCAAAAAAAGACGTCTGGAATCTTCTGAAACATCAAGCTTGTTCCAATTAGCATTTACATACATACTGCGTATGCCTTTATCCCGAATCTTGCTTGTCCTTTCTTCAAGTTGCTTACAAGCCTCTTGTTCCTTGTGGAGTGTGGCTTGATCCCTTAAAACGACAGCTTTTTATTGCCATCCATCGTCATTGAGCTTGCCCACCGGCTGTGGCGGCGGGGTACATTTTCCCATCTCACGGTTTTCAACAACTTCACTCTCTTCGTCCCTGCTTATAAACCTGATTTGAGCTACCGTCTTGCACCTGCGCGTCCACCATGGCATCAACTGCCAAGCAGCCAGCTAAAGGCATTCTCAAGAAGCCCAAGGATGCCGCCAAAGAGCCCGACGTCGATCCCAGGGAGGTCGCCCTCCAGCACGCCAGGATCATCCAGCATCGCAAAGACCTTGAGGCTGAGATCCTGGACAGCCTGATCCTTCTCTCCGAGTACCCTCTTGTTCGCGAAGCCCCGCACAACGCTGCAAACCCTGCACCGTCCGACATTGCCGACTTCAAGGCTCACGTGCGCCTGTTTCAGCCTTCGGATTATGACGATCTCATCATCGAGCGCAACGTCAACGAGCTATGCGGATACTCACTTTGCGCGAAGCCCCGGCGACAGGTTGGGCCTGGAGGCGATTGGAAGATTCTAGCCAACGGAGACATTGTCAAGCGAAAGGATGTCGAGATGTGGTGCTCGCAGAAATGCGCCCGCCGCGCCCTCTACGTCAAGGTCCAGCTAAACGAGACGGCTGCATGGGAGCGCGCGGGTATCCCAGACATTCAGATCGAGTTGCTCGACGAGACGCAAACAGACGTTGACCGAGCTGCACAGAAGCTAGGAGACCTTAAGCTGGAGGAGCAGCGACAAGCAGCTCGAGACACAGCTGCCTTGGCCCTCGAACGCGGCCAGCGTGAACCTATGCAACGAGACAAGGTCAAGGTTACACTCAAGGAGAAGGATGTTGAGGCGCCTTCCCCTGTTCCAGACATACCACAAGTCTACGATGATGACCATTTGGTCGTTGAGGGCTACAAGAGTAAACTTCGCCTAGACAATGAAAAGGAGGACCAAAAGAAATAAATTGGCTTTTGTAGGCGTTGTATCATAAAATGGCGTTGGACGGATGGCATATATATCATAGGATCGGCATGACTGCGAATAGGCAAGAGATACCCAAGTGATGTAACATTGGGACTCCAGCATGATGCAGCAATCCGCTGGCTCAGTTCCTCATGGTGCAAACTGGCCTTGGGACAAGGTCACGTTCACAGACGAGAGGGAGGTAACTTGGCGATCAAGCGTCATCCCTGGAGACATCCAGAGGAATCGGCGACACCTTGGGGGGTTGGAAGATCTTTCTTTGAGACCTATGCACTCACTGTCCTAAGACGCCAAGTAGCAAACCCTGTAAATCCCAGACACCCATAATGTTCCCAAAACCAATTTTTTAGTCGCGGCGAGGAGGGCGGTCGCCGTATCGTCGGCCACCACGCTCGGGGACCTGCTGCTGAGAGACGGGGATGACGTTGACGGGGATGGACTCGAACTGTGCGCCTGGTTAGTATCCTGCGGTGTTTTGTCTTTTATCGGGGGTGCACATACGCCAAGGTGCTTGAGGAGATCCTTGGTCTCGCCGTCGACGTCGAGCTGACCGCCGCTCTCGGAGTTCTGGGTGAAGTCCAGAGCGGAGACCTCAGGAACGTACTGATCCTTGCGCTCACGCTCCTCCTCCTGAAGCTTGAAGGAGATACCGCGGACGGGCCCACGCTGAATTCGCTTCATCAGATGGGTGGTGTAGCCAGCAATCTGTAATTCGTCCGGGGTCAGTCGCTGTGCAAATCTTGTCGTGTTTCTCTCGCAGTTCTAACCTTGTTGCGAAGGCGCTTGGAGGCGATGATGGCGATCTCATCGCAGATGCGCTTGTTGGTCTCGAAGTCGAGGGTGAGCTTGGGGTAGTACCGCTCAATGATGACCTTGGCGGACTTCTTGACGGTCTTGGTACGGACGCGACCCATTTTGGCGGTATTGGACTGTTGGACGTTGGGCGTTGGGTTGTTAGTGAGTCGCTCGAAGAAATTCCAACTGTAAATTTGGTGTTGAGCCGTGGTGGGGGAAAGGTGCACGCACTAGCGATTAGGGCTCGGAATTTTGAATCACGTGTTGTGGCTAACTAGCCACTTTATGGGGCTTGTCGATTACCTAACCCTGCTTCGTGAGGCTTGGCTTGTGGACGATGCAAGTGAAGGTATGGGTCAATTAAAGCTTCATGGCTGTTCACTTCAAAGATATCTCATCTCAAGTATGAACTAGGAATGCTTATCAGGATAATCCCGAGTCAATTCTTGCTTTCAATTCTACTTGTACAGTTGTTTGGTACAGGATTTTTCTTTGCCAAGGAACATAGATGGCATCGATATACAACAGCTCCCTAACCCCTCGTCAAATTCATCTATTGCTTCTGGTCAAGACCATAGCTGCTGGAGCTGCCCACAACATCCTTTTCGGATTGGGACGCTGAGTCGTCTTCGAGAAGCTCATCAGCGACGCGGCTGGTTCGCCAAGGATCAGCTACAGTTTCCGTTTTGGGGGCACGCTTCTCCCCAGTGTACACCTGCTCTCGTCCCTTGCTCTCCTTTGCCAGAAGTTGGGACTCGGAAGTGGTGTCCCGGAGCTGGAGGACGACCTTTCCGCTGGGGTCAACAGTCGCTGTCACGGGCTCGACGTAAGCCTTGGCACCACCGTATGTGGTGGTGTCAAGATGCGTGATGCCATCAAGCACCTTCTTGGTTTGACCACGACGTTGGTTTCTGCCGGTGAACTCGTTGTCACCAGGAGGAGTATCGGCGACGAAACCACCCACACCAAGCTTAGCAAGTGATACATTGCGCCTGGGGTGGATGACTCGGGCAAGGACAGGGGTATGTCGTCCTTGAGGACCATACACAGGGTGGTTGTCCATGTATGCGTTTGTCCTCAGGTAGCTGATACCAGCAGAGGGATGACTAGGAGGAGGTCCAGCCTTGCCGTAGGGACTCTCAGCAGCCGCATTCTCCCCTGTGGAAATGAGGGTCTGGAGAATGCCCACTGGGTGACCCAGGGGAGCAAGATCGAGGAACTTGGAGACAAGTCCGTAGAGCGTAGCTCGGTCACTTCGGAGAGAGCGCACAAAGTCGATGAATTGCTCCTTGCTAATGTCCCAAGGGTTGATCTTGGGAGGAGCTGGCTCGCCCTTGTCCAAAGCTTCCTGAGCCTGCTTGGTATTTAGAGACTCGGCAAGTCTCTCTTTCAGCAACCATCGGAAGTGAGCACGCTTTGGTCGTACGCTCTTGTTGAGATATTCGATGAACTCGCCCTCGGTCAACCTGGCCAACCAAGGTCCCTGGAACTTCCATCGCTTGTCATCCGCTCGTCCTTGACGGAAGTCGGTAAAGTCCATATCCTCCTCAAAGACAGACTTGCGCCATATGTCGGTCCTCGCCGTACCAGTGGTTCGTTCATGTTCCTTAGGGATCGAAAGAGGCACACGGAGCTCCTGGAACTTTTCCAGAGACAAAGTGTAGTCGGCGGCAGAAGCGAAGTCGGTAACACTCTCGATAGCGTCAACCTGCTTAACTCGGATGAGGGGTGTCGAAGTGGTCATGGTGGACCTAAGAGGGAACGGCCGCTTGAATCCCCAATCTCCCTTCTCTCGCGACGAGAGAGGAGAGGTAATTGACTGGTGCTGGGGGTATTGTCGTGTCATGGTGGGAGACTTGTGATCACTAATGTGCAGGTTGGTCGACTGCGGTTCGGGCAATGGCTTGGGAATGGAGAAGAGCCGAGAGGATCTCAGCAGAGCCCCCCCGGGCGAGACGGTTCGGCCCCCCATTGCGACTCGGAGACCGTTTGGCGAGCTCAATTGGCTTGCCGTTTTGGTATCTTCGTGGTGGTCGGCTGGCGTTGAGCTGAGGCCGACGAAAATTCGCGGGCGTTTGGAAGCTTTGGCGGGATATGCCGGTGATGACCCGGGGTGGCCTCATTGGTTAATTAGACTCGAGCTGGGGGGCTCTTTCCATGGCGCTGAACCCCACTGAAACCTTTCTCACAACCCTGCAATGTTGATTCATGAAGTAAAAATACAGCAGCTAGAAGTGATTGGGAGGCAAGACAAGCTGGTAGTTTTCTCTTCTCTTAGTTGGAAAAATCAAGAGTGAGATGCAAGCTGTCAAGAGGATGGCTTCGACTTCAAACATTTACAAGTCACCGGCTCTGACATTTGAGCTCGTTGCAAAATGCTCCGTGAGTCTTACTTGGCGATTGCCTCACTCTGTTACACGAGGCTAATGAACGAGTTTCCAAGATAGACAACTAGAGCACGGGCTTCGATACTGACGCTGCCTCATGGACCGGTTCAGCTTCCTATGTTCATGCCTGTGGCTACTCAGGCCTCTCTCAAGGGTATCACTCCTGAACAGCTTGAAGAGACAGGCTGTCGCTTGTGTTTGAACAACACATACCATCTTGGTTTGAAGCCGGGACAGGAGGTTCTTGATGCTATCGGTGGAGCTCACAAGCTTCAAGGATGGAACTACAACATCCTGACTGACAGTGGAGGGTATGTGTTCGACAGTCACCTATCTGAGTCCAGCTGACCGTCTTCAAGATTTCAAATGGTCAGTTTGCTCAAGCTTGCCACCATAACTGAGCAGGGTGTCGAATTTCTGAGTCCCCATGATGGAACACCTATGCTTCTCACCCCCGAACACTCCATGTCGTTACAGAACAGTATCGGTAGCGATATCATGATGCAGCTTGACGATGTCCTTGTCACAACTTCACCCGACAAGGCTCGCATGAGAGAAGCCATGGAGCGCAGCGTGCGGTGGCTAGATCGCTGTATAGCAGCACACAAGAAGCCCGACTCGCAGAACCTCTTTTGTATCATCCAGGGTGGTCTAGATCTTGATATGCGACGAGAATGCTGCCGAGAGATGCTGGCTCGCGACACCCCGGGCATAGCCATAGGAGGCCTGAGCGGCGGTGAGGCCAAAGCGGATTACTGCAAGGTCGTAGAGGCTTGCACAGCACTGCTCCCTGACCTCAAGCCGCGGTATGTTATGGGCATTGGTTATCCTGAAGACCTGGTGGTGAGCGTTGCTCTCGGCGCCGACATGTTCGACTGTGTGTGGCCAACGAGGACAGCCCGATTCGGCAACGCTGTTACCAAGTACGGCGTTCTCAACATGCGCAACAAGAAGTACGCAGCCGACTTTGAACCTGTTGAGGAGGGTTGTGGCTGCATGATCTGCAAGCCGTCCGCTGATGGAGGGATGGGTGTCAGCCGAGCCTTTGTGCACCACAACGCCTCCAAGGAGACTGTGGCTGCTCATCTATTGACGATACACAATGTGTACTATCAACTGAACCTCATGAGGCAAATCCGAGAGGCCGTCATCGAGGACCGCTTCCCAGCTTTCGTGCGACAGTTCTTCGCATGGCTATACCCTGAGAAGACTGAGTATCCGGAATGGGCAGTTGGCGCGCTGAAGGGAGTTGGTATAGATTTGACAACGGAATAGAGTCATTACCCAATGAAGGGATGTTTATACAGGCGCAAGGCGTTGGTGAGCGGACTCAACATGGTGGGATATCAAAAGTGAATTTCTATATATACGGTTGGTTTCCCTTCATATGCCAACAAGGATGTCCCCCAACGATGACACGCTTTGTCCAAGTGTTCTCCAATATAAATTCATTAAACCATGCCAGCAGTCATTAGAACCAACACAATTTCCACTCGAAATGTAGAACCAACAGCCCATCCCCACTCGCGTCACACAACGGGCGCTTACAGAGCAACAGCAAGAGCAGCAACGGCGGCAAAGACAGCGCCGAGACCGACACGGAGAGAAGAGGCAGAGTTGCCGCTGGTCTCGGTGGCACTGGCAGCGGAGCCGGTGCCTGGGACAGTGACGGTGACAGGGCCGTCATTGCTGGTGGTGGCATCGTTGTTGTTGTCGTTGTTATCATCGCTGTTGCTGGTCTGTCGGGGAGAAGACTCGGTAGTTGAGTCAGTCTCGTCGTCGTCGTTGTCGTCGTCAGTCGCGGTGGTCTCGGAGTCCTGAGTGCGAGTGGCAGCAACGTCGCAAGCAGTGGTGTAGCGCTTGCAGAAGCTGGCAAAGGTCTCGGCGACTGAGAAGAATGAGTTAGTATAAAACCACCAGTGAAGCAAGTGTGAAACATACCAGGGAGGATGGTGTCGGGCTCGCCAGTGCTGGCCCAGCTGGCGCAGGTCTTGGCATAACCACCCATCTCATCAGTCCAGGTGAGTCTGTCGCCGGAACCACGGCAGCTAGAGTAGAGTTAGTGATCAGTAAGCCCTGTCTGTTCCAAGTAAAACTCACCAGTAGCACTCAGCCTGCTCCTTGAAGGGGAGTTCAGTGAAGTCGCGGTTGGCACGGGTGCACGAGGCGAAGACACCAAGCATGTTCTCGCAGGCCAGAGCATAGGTCTGCTCAGCAGGGCTGGTCATGGTAGCCGAAGCCGACTCATCGCCATCGCTGCTAACAACGGCTGTGGTTCGAGGGCTGCGAGTAGCGCTGCCACCGCTACCACCACCGCACGAGGCAGCGAGAGCGCAAGCCTTATAGAGAGTGCCGTATGCTGAAGAGAGTTTATGTTAGCATCCATCCATATCACGCAGATTTGACTCAGGCGCATAAAACGCACCCTCATATTGCTCGCTGGCAGTAGGAAGCTCCTCCTCGAGGTAGTTGGAGCATACGGAGTAGAGAGGAGCGGCGGCAGTGGCTCCATCGCAGCAAGCGCATCCAATGAGCTCAGTAGGGTCGGCGTTGGCGGCGGCCTCAACACCACCTAGAGACGACACACAGCCTTCAAAGAGGTTGACGGCCTCAGAGCAGGTCTGGTAACCAGGGTCTCCGGGGTTGACAGCTGCGACATTGAGGATGCCAGGGGCGAAGACGGGAGCGACAGTGACCTGGGCAGCGACGCCGCTGGTGAGGATGGAGAGGACTGCGGCCTTCATTTTGAAACTGGCTCACGGAGACTTGGACTTGGTTCGAACGGTGTTGAAGAGTAGGATGAATCAGAGACACCAGCCGCTTATAGCTCTTGAGCGTAAAAGAAACCAAACCAATTCCCCAGAAAAGCAATCTCCGGGGGGGGGCGAGGAGGGCAAGGCGCCGGGCATTTATTCACGGCGCAGAGCCAGAGCAATCTGCGCTCTGCCTGCAGAGAAAGGGTCGGCTCATCGGTCATTGAGCAATCAGCAAGCAACGAGACAGGTCCTCGTCACGCTAGAGAGCTTGCGGCCGGGGGGTGTGCTGAGCTAGCTCCGGGCAAAGCAGCCCACGAGGCAGAGTGTCTGGGCCCCAGGGCCAGCCAATGGAAGAGTCTGCTACCGTGCGGCTGAGTCGATATTAGGCGCATCTGGCTGGGTCTGTCTTGGGGCGATTCGAGAGGACCTGGTGGTAATGTCGAGGACTTGTTAGACAGAGTTGCAACCGAAGATGGAGGTGACCGGGGTACCGACGCCGAGGACAAACCAGGGGTGGAGGAAAACACCACAATGTAAGCCACTCGGACGCCTTGAAGGGACTCGGTCTAACCTACTTGATCAGAATGACTTGCAAGGGTCCTTCTTGGAGGTTGTTCAGGCGAGGGGCTAGGCCAAGGAAGCCAAGAGACCATGGATCAAATGAGGTCGACCTGGATGATGATCCCAGGTTCAATGCCGTTTTCCGCAGAGGGCTGGGCAGACGTCGAAAGTGCAGTCTTGGCAGTTGCAGAATGAGCGGTGCCACGATTTCTTCTGACAAAGGGACTCGAGCCTCAGTTGAGTGTCCATGGCGTATTCTACACGCTGTTGTTGGCCGCCTCTGCCGTTTGGCTGCATTTGCACATTTCTGCACGCCTTTCCTTTTTCCACGGGCGTTTACTTGCCTCTGCTCGGCATGAGGAAACAAGCCTTGGCGCCTCCATCTGCCTATCAAGTCAGATCCGTTCCAAATGACTCCAATTATTTACAGAAATCCCACAAATCCGAGCTGACATGATGGCCCACCTCCCCTTGTCCTCCAAGATGTTGGACAGGATCGACAAATTGTGATATTAATTAGATATTTGTTTGATAATCCAAACACAGTATTCATTATGTAGCTACCTACATCTGTTACCCAGCGTCTCCTTTGCTAGAGTCTTCGTCGTGTTGGGAATACAATCACATGGACAAACACTCTACGTATGTTGCCTTGCGCAAATCACTCACCACCAAAAGCCAAATTCAATTCAAATTCAGCCTTGCCAAGGGTCATGGAACCTTAATTGCCCCGCTTGGCAGACACACCGCATCTCATTCCCTATTCCGATGGGCACCTCCCGATACTATAGACATTTGTAGACATGAGGGACATACCATGTGACGTCCTCTACTGGTTCTCAGGGCACGCATAGCCTCGATGAGACACGAATTCTTTAGCTAAAGAATTCTTCTACGCCCGATGGACGGCTCAACCGCCACCGCCAAGATGCTGCCGGAATTATCGGGCCTCGTTCTGCCCCTCGCAGGTCTCACTTGACCCCAGCGACGGTCGAATAAACGGCGCCGGGAAGCGGAAGAGGGGGAGATGCCAGCGCGGCAGCAATCCGCGCAGAACATCTGTCTCCGCAGAGCTCAAACGCCCGAACCCTGTGCAAGATGTAAGGGTGACCAGGCGAGCTAGCACAAGCATAAACCAGGCCCGAGTGGATCGTAAGTTGTTTTGTCAACAGGGTGTGGTCTTTAACTTTGGACTTGTTTGACAGCAAGGGGAAGTGCCATCACCTACAGTATGGACAACGAGATCATCCCTGAGGCTCGAGCCATGATGGCATCTGCGCGTTTTGTATTTCGGTGGGAGCGAGAAACAATCACCTTTTGTCCCATACAGGCCTATGAATAGATGCGTGTTTCCCCTATGTACGTACCAATATTTGCATTGCGACAAGGTGACCAGGCAACCCTGGTAGTCAGAGACTGCAAGCCACGAGTCTAGACTCACCCACAGCGACAGAGACGGGACTGAAGCTCGAGGCACCAAGTTTTTCATCCTGACACTGTGCTACCTCGCACTTCCTTTGAAAAGCGGAAGCCTCGTGGTGATGGATCGCTGTCAAAACAAAGTTCAACTCAGATCTCGTTTTAATTTACAACCAACAGAATTCATCCTACGGCACCTCCCGCTGCACACCATCGCTGTTGGTTCGTCGCCTTGACTGCGGATCAGCGTTGTTTGTAAGTGCTGTGCTGCATGGATGAAAACCCAAACGTCTGCCTAGCCACGAGGGCGTTGGTCCCTTTGTTCTATCTGACTTGGTATGACCTCACTTGATCCAAAGTCATCAACACCGTGCTGTCATGAGCTGGGAACGAAAATCATTATCTCGAGGATCAATTGGAGGAACGTAGCATCGAAGGACAGGGGCGCCCAAATAGGAAATCACCGCAACTCATAGATGGATCACGTGATACAACCCACCGACGCGTTACCTGAGACGCGACCTGTGTGTTTTCCCAGGGGCAAAGACGTCACCGACTCTCCATCGAAAAGCCGACAAGGGCTCACTCGACACTAGGCTGGTTTGCGTCTTTGCTTCCAATTCTCAAACGTTGCGACCCGCCCCTTGTCTCATCCCATCATCCTATGCCCATCTCGTCCCATGAATCTGGCAGCTCCGAAGCCTCATGGCAACTCCGTCCCGCCCATCGCTGCCGCTCCGACGTCAGTCGTCTACTAGGAGCCTACGACATGACAATGATGACTTGGCGCAGTCGTTGAAACAGCTGTCCATATCCACCTCGCCCGGCCGCGCTCATGGCTCACCGCACCTCTCCGAACCCAGCACTCCCTTTCGTGCATCAGGACGCCGTACCTCGCAGTCCCCAAGGCCCAATGCTCGACTCCCATCTCGTAGCCCTTCGCAAGGGCGCGATCCCGGCTCGGGAACGCCCACGCTTCTTCGAAAGGCCTCGATGAACTCGCTGCGGTCTTCAAACGGAATGGGAGCTGTCCCGACTCCTACTCGACGTGCCAGCACCACACATATCATGTCACCGTCTCCCAAGTCTCCCTTGGCTACACCCCCTGTCCAGGAGAAACCTCGACCGACCGCCAGTTCAATTGCACACGACATTTTGAGTGCCGAATTGCAAGCACATCACTCGCCCGAATGTGCAAGCCAACCGCAAACGATCGTGGTCCTCAACGATGCCGTCTATGGTCACCGATTCTCCCGACCGAGAACCTCCCGGGCCGCCCTTGGTACGATTGTCGAACGCCCGGAAAGAATAAAGGCAGCTGTTTTGGGTATCTCGACAGCCTATGTGCGCCTGGGTGGACGACACAGCGAGGGAGCCTTCCCACCTCATCCCAGGAGGGATGTCGAAGACCTGCCAGGGATTCCCTTTCGGATACACAAGACGGAACGCAAACTCTCACTACTATCACCGGCTGTTGTTAATGTTCATGGAACGAAATGGATGGAAGAATTGAAGATGATGTGCGAGGCGGCCGAGTCCAAGCTTGCAATGGGAGGCAAAGAACTCCAGAGGCCAGAGTTGAACCGAGGAACGGAGAAAGCACCCGAAAAGTTTCATGAAGGTGATTTATACCTCTGCTCGGAGTCTCTTAACGCTATGGAGGGTGCCCTGGGAGCTGTTTGTGAAGCTATTGATACCGTCTTCGGTCCTGGACCTCAACGTGCATTTGTGGGAGTGAGACCTCCAGGTCACCACTGCTCTGCCTCATACCCTTCGGGATTCTGCTGGATCAACAATGTTCACGTCGGAATTATGCATGCTGTCCTCAACCATGGACTTACACACGCCGCTATCATTGACTTTGACCTTCACCATGGTGACGGATCCCAGGCCATCACCTGGCAACACAACACTCGAGCTAACGCGGCGGCCAAGAACGCTGCTGCGTGGAAGAAGTCGTCAGTTGGCTATTTCAGTTTGCACGATATCAATTCGTATCCGTGCGAGATGGGTGATGAGGAAAAGGTTAAGAACGCCAGCATCTGCATTGATAATGCGCACGGCCAGACAGTTTGGAATGTCCACTTGCAATCATGGAAGACGGAGGAGGAGTTTTGGCGACTCTATGAGACCAAGTATAGCGTTCTGCTGGAAAAGACCAGGAACTATCTCAAGAACCAGGCAGAACGACTTCGGCAGTCAAACCAGATCCCCAAGGCCGCCATTTTCTTCTCGGCTGGTTTTGATGCGAGTGAGTGGGAGAGCGCAGGAATGCAGCGCCATCAAGTCAACGTTCCGACCGAGTTCTACGCCCGGATAGCCCATGACGTCATCAAACTGGCCGCTGAAGAGGGACTCGAGGTCGATGGTCGCATCATCAGCGTCTTGGAGGGTGGCTATAGCGACAAGGCTTTGTTCTCTGGTATTCTTAGTCACCTCAGTGGTTTGGCGGATGACCAGACGTATGAACGAGAGCCGCAGAACCTGGGACGTCTTGGTGCGGAGATGGGACACAAGATCGGAGTGCTCGCGGAGGAAGACGATGAGATGGATACAAAGCCATCATTGGACTCTGTTCACAGCTATGATCCGGCCTGGTGGGCAAGTCCACGGCTGGACGAGCTTGAAGCTATAGTTGCAGGTCCTGGTGGTCCTGCAGCGAAGCCACACAACAACACGCTTCCCACTTACTTTTCTCCGACACAGGCATCAACGGCCAGGGTTGCGGATCCTATTAAGATGCGCCGCAGTCTTTCCAACCTGGGTGCTTCACTATCACGGCCTCCCTCACCACCCCCACCAGAGGTTCCCTGGACGGTTGCAGCCCACGAGCTCAGCAAGCTTCTCATCCCTGAAAGTCGCCAGACAGACAGCTGCAAGCCCGAGGATTTGAACGCCGAGGCAACACGGGCGAGACGAGACCGCCAATCATTGCTTCTGGGAATTGACCCTAACCCTCCGGCCCCAGCTTCACGCCCGACGTCACGCATGTCTTTGCGCGAGAGGCGGCCCAAGCCAGCTCCTCCCCCTCAGCCCATCAAGGACAAAGCACCAAAAGGTCGTAGACAGACAATGGCTACCACCACTTTGACTGCAGACAAGGCAAGTATTCTACCTCTATATATACGTGAGCAAAAGCTAACTCTTCCTAAGGCCGTGGCCCGTGGTATCCCTTCGAGGACCAACAGCGATGAGCCAGTGCGGAGAGCCAGTCGACGTCTTAGCGAGGTACCGACTACTCTCGCATCCAGGGCTACATCGCACACTTCGTCCGGTAATGAAGCTGACCTTCCGGAGGGTTCTGAGGCCCCTGGTCCTGGCTCTCCAGTGAGCACCAGGGCACCTCCCGGTGGAGGTCTTCAGGTGAAGAAGACTCGAAACCCCGTGGCTACTCGTAAAGAGCCTGCACCTAGGGCGCCTCGAACCACTAAAAAGGTTGCTCCTCCCACCGCATCGCGGCCCCCTACAGCAGCTCAAAGGATCCACCCATCAACGAGGCCTCAGGCAAAGGCTGGCCCATCTGGTGCAACCGGCGATGATATCGATAGCATCACAACAGGGATGAAGAAGATCCGTATCAATCTCATCACCCAGTCCCAGAAGGAAGCCAGAGAGCGAGCTCGACTTGAAGCTGAAAAGGTCAAGGCCAGATCTGTGTCCGCCTCTGCTGCCATCAGCCAGTCCAAGCCTGTTCGGCCCATCGAAGCCTCAACCAGCCGCCAGCAGTCGCCGGAAATCAGAGGCCCTGACTCGGGAAACATCTCTCCCACTCAGGTTGCAGCCCCTGACTCTGAGATTCCTACCCCTCCGGCTACAATCTCGTCCAGCGGCCTTACAACGCCTTTCCCGGACGCCCCTTTTGAGCTCAACTCTGAGCCACAGCAGGTCTCGCTGCCTCCTAGTTCTTCTCCAATTCCTTCTGTTTCCATTCAATCGAGCGACGACGACAATGTGTTTATTGCGTACCAACCCGAAGGCCCTACACCCGTGGCTGTTGCTCAGCAGGAACCTATCAAATGGCTCCCGCCTAATGTGCAAACGCCAACTGCACAAACACCTGCTGCAACACCAAGCCCGGTAAAGAAGAACAACCTCTTTCAGTATACCGAGGGTATCCCCTTTGCGCCACGACAGGGACAGCATGCGGGGGAGCAGAAGCCGACAGATGAAGGTGTCAAGTCAGAGCCGCCCGCTTCTGAATCTGTTCAAGAAATTCCTGAGGCTCCTCAACAGTAGCGACGAGGGTGAGATTTTGTTACATGTCCCATTTCCTGTAATTCACGGATAGCTGGCTATCTGTTCTACTTCAAGACTCTCTACCAAGAGGGTGTGGCGGTATTTGAAGCCAATACTCGATTCTAGTTGTCGCTGTCTTTCTTTGCTCGATTTACCCCCTTCTTCCTTGGAACGTTTATCACTAGACCTTCTTTGGATGTCAGGTGTCCCACGATACCCTTTCTCTTGGCTTCTCAGATGTGGTTGCCGCCCGTTTCTAAATAGCTCTAGTTTTCTTTCTAATGTATGACTTGTACGGCTGGCTCGTCTCTTCTTCGTCATTTACTTGGTGTCTGTTGAGTTCTTAGGGGAAAGTCTGGCGGAAAACATCGACTGGGACACTGACGTCCTCGACGACGGATCTGTTGGTGCCCTCGATGCCAGGATGGAACTTTCTCTGCAAGGTCCACACTTCTTGGACGCCTAGGCTCTCGAGATAGGCGACTGTGCGGGCATAGTTTGTTGCGACCTGGGCGATTCCGTGGCTGTCGTCGGAGAAGGTGAACTTGCCGCCCATCTTGATCCATTCCTGATGAATGTGGTTAGCATTGCGACGCATAAAAGGCCAAGGAGTGAGGTGTTTCGGGTCATCTTACCTCGGCGATGATCCTGCATGGATAAGGCTCTGCCAGTCCCTTGCGCAGCGCTGCACTATTCACTTCGAGCCATCCTTCTTGTTCTCGTGCAAGTTTGAGATTTCGGATGACTCGCTCCCAGACACCCTTCCACTGGCGAATGTCCCTCGCAGGGTCCTCGCTCATCAGACGGATGAGGTCAAAGTGGCCAACAACGCGGGGTTTAAGCTCCTGCAGCATGTGATACTGAAGGTCATAGTAGTCCTCGTAGAGCTTCTCCTCTGTACCACCCTCGCTAGCATCCCTAGCAGCGGCAAACATAGTAGCATCGTAGTCAATCGGGACGCCGTGGACATGATGCACAGAGCCAATAAAGTAATCAATGATGGGGTGCTGAGCCAACGTCCGAACATGAGCAGCAAAGTCTGGACGAATAAACTCGGCCTCAAAACCAATCAGGATGTGAACCTTGTCGGCGTACTCTCGCTGCAGACGCTGTGCCTCGACGAGATAAGCCTCATGACGAGGAGGTAGAGCCTCGAGAGCAGCTTGAGGATCATCAAGCTAAGAAGTTGTGAGACATTTTTCCAAAACATAGGGTGTTGAGTACTCACCTCTTCGGGATACAGATCTCGCTGCTCATAGCGGGGCATATGCTCCGTGAGCCCAAAAGTCTTGTATCCGAGCTCGATGGCATGCTTGATGATGTCCTCTAGCTGATCCTTGGCATGCCCCGGGCAGAACTGCCCGGAGTGGGAGTGCATTGTAAAGGCCATGGCGACAACACTCTACAGGCAAAGTTAGAGAGTGAATCAATGATAATTGTACTTATATACTTGGACCTTTGTTGAGAATGAGCAATTAAGCTCTTGTCATTTGAAAGTTTCGTAATTCCCCACGTTCTCATCCCGTTGGTGGTCAGCCAGTCAAGCTACTCCACTTTTCCCGATTGGGAAAGTCTATAAATATCACCTCCCTCTTTAAAAATCAACACTTTATCAAGGCATCGACAAACATGTAACTTCATATACAATCATTGTATATATACACATTATTTATATATAATACCAAGAAATGCATTTTCCGTCGCGTACAATTCGCTGTTTCCATCCCGTCCACCAAAACGCCTTGCATGCATGCCCTTTCCAATGCCCATGTTATACAGAAATCTTTGCTTCTTCTCTTACGTCTTCTCGTATAGCGGAATATCTCCGTAACTATACACTCCAGGCGCCATGCTAATATATCGTCCGGCAACTAACCCTCCACTGCTGCCACCTGCCGAGACATCAGACACTACAGCTGGCCTTGCTACCTTGCCTTCATCCTGCACAACTCCTATGCCGTAGCTTCGACCTCCTGTGCCGCTCTTGTTCCAGCCGAGTTGGAATGTTTTGCGTCGGAGACATCGTGCTAGGTCTTCGTCTGACATCCATTCGGCGCCGTCTGGTAGTCGCCACCATAATGTCGAGTCGGCAAGGAGACTGGCCTGTGCTGCGATACTGCCTGGGCTCTTGGGCAGCGGTGCGCCTCGCGGTGCCGTGCGGAGGGAGAGCAGGCCAAAGATGAAGGTCACGGCTAGGAGGCCCGCGAGGACATATGTCTGAACGCTAGACTGCGTCAGGCGAGAGATGTAGTAGTCGATAGACGCCGGTATAGAGTCGTCAGCTCGAGCTCGCTTGGATGACAACTTTTGTCGCATCATGTCGCTGTTGAGAGCCTGCGCGCCAAGGATGCCATGCTGCAGTCGAATAGCCTGTGACACGGCATTCTGTCTCTCTGGCAATACCAATCGCTCCAGAGACATTTCTACCCTCGAAAGTACCAGCGTACGGAAGAAGCTATCCAAGCCCTCGAGCTTGTTATCATCAGTGCCGACATCGTCGAGGGCACTATATACGCTAGTAATGTCGGCCTCAACGTCTGAAGGCCGTTGACTGGTCGTGTTGATGATGGGGATGGCGTTGGTGTCGATGCGGAGATCCTCGGTGTGGAACGTGGTGTGTACGTCGACCTCCATGATTGTCTGGTTGCACAGCAGCACCGAGATCATGCCTTCACTGTCACAACTTCCCCAGACATAGTTGAGAGAAAACTTGGATGTAAGCTGCGCGCAAGATGATGCTACGAGCCCTGTGTAAGCTTGATCCCCTTTGCAGATGGGCTGCTTCTTTGTGCCAGCCACAGGAACACATTGCCACTTTGACCCCTGACTTCCTGTGAGAGTGAGTGTCTCGCAAGTGAGGGCAGCCCTGAGCGCGGGGATGTCGCTGATAAGCTGCGTCTTTGGTAGCGGCCACTCCTTAGGATGATCCGCGAGGGAGACTTCTGGCAGTGCGACGTCTTCCCAGGTCCATCTTGGGTACTTGGGCGTCTCCTGAAGCAGGACCTGGTTGACAATGGCAGTATCGATGGCGGTGCTGAGAGACTTTGTCGTCGACTTGAACTCGGTCTGCGGCTGGAGTTGAAGCTTGGCTGTCTGTGAGATCTGGGTTATGGCGAAGAGGCCTGCGGTGAAGATGGGCATCAGCCAGCCCAGCATTGCAGTGCTCTTTGCTAGAAACACGGCCCAGTCCTGGTGCTTGATGGCCTTTCCTGCACTCCGGAGGCCAAACTCGTTCATGTAGGTGAGGCCCAGTGATTCTTGGAAGCGGCATTTGGCGACGGTTAGCTTGAGGAAAGGAGCGAGTCGTCGTCGGTCAATGTCGATGCGTGTCCAGAATACAGCGATGGCGACAAAGATAAGCGTAGGAAGGCAGGTCCACAGAATAAAGACGCTGTCTGAGAACTCGAGTCCTTCCCTACTGCCCCTGAGACTAAAGATGACGCAGATACCAGCGAGAAGTCCAATCGAAACGGAGACGCTGGTGACCTGAGTCCGAGCACGCTGAGTCCACGGTCGATATATCCCCATCGTCTCATTAGAACCTCCAGGACTCTCAGTGTTGAAAGAGCCGTTTCCTCCGCTGAGCTGTCGCAGTTGAAACATCTTTTCTGGCTTTCGTCCCTGTTGTCGAAGCTCAGTAGTATACCATGAGCCCGCTAGTCGAGCAGCAACTGTTTCCATGTCCGCGTTACCTGTTCCAGTTAACCGACCCAGGAATTGCTGGCTACTCGCGAGTAGGGCAGCCGTTCCAGCAGGAGAAGTAGGATCTCGAGGCGCAATACCCCGCGATGAGGGGGCGTGGTAGAGCATAGGGAGGAGCACGCCCGAGAGAATGAGGAAGACGCCGACCATGGCGTGGAGAATGCCCATACGGGCTCGGAGAAGAGTGGTACCATCAACGAGGATCTCGGCGTGGAAGACGGCAGTAGAAAGAACAATCTGAACACGAAGAAGGAGCTTGACGGCGATGGATGCGACGACAAGATGATGGCGGTTTCGAAAGCCCTTGGTCAAAGCCTGGAAGCTTCCTAGACTTGGGTAATCGAGGAGGATAGTTCGGTGAGCCTGCTTGCGGCGTGTCTCGTCGACGCTGGTGGGACGGTGATCGAGTATCATCCAGGGCGTGTAGAGTAATGCTTGAGCTTCGACGCGGGACCATAGCATGGCCATGATGGAGATAACTTGACAGATTGTGAGCATTCACTTACACGGCACACTTACGCAGAGGGTAATGTTCCTGACGATCACTCACCTACTACAGGTCCAAATGTCCACACACCCCTGATGTTGCTCTCGACGTCATCCCTCGACAACAGCCACATGACAACCTCGCCGACCACGGCCAGCATTATAGAGGTCCCTGTGAATATGGCAATCACCCTCCGTCGCAGCCATTTAGGCCTCCATCCGTCTCTCAGCGGAACCTCGGTCGGCTCCGGTACGTCGGCGTGTCTAAAGTTGGTCTCCCCGTGGGCTCCAGCAGTATTAGGCGGGGTGTCGTAGTATGGCGTCTCAAGAAGTGCGTCCATGTGGTTCGAAGCCCTCACGATTCTCGGGTCCGTCATGCCCGACATTCTCGGGGAAGAAGCAAAGCCATCGCTGCTAGGAGAGGAAGGAAACTGACCCCTCTGCAGCGGACCTGGACTCGGAGGGTAAAACGGACTGAGAGGAAACCCGGGGCTGGCGGGACTGTTGGGCGACTGGAAGCCCGCTCGGGGGCTGACGATGGGTGTCGAGGGTCCCGAGTGCGAAGGGAGAGGCGGCGAGAGTAGAGGAGGAGGATGTTGAATGAGGGGTGCTGAGGACGTGACGGTCGAGGGATACCGGACGTAGCTGAAGCCGGCCGACGATCTCGTCTCGCTGTATGCGCCGGCGACGATCTTGTCCTCGCCGGTTGAGGGGTGATGGAGGCCAAGGTTTGTCCATGGCGCTGCCATGACCGTCTTTGTTGCGAGTCCCCAAACGGGGACTTACGTGTTTGTGAGTGTTTGTGATATTCTAGTTTTGTTAATCGTAGAAGCCTTGTCTCTTTGTGTTGCTTTTTCTTTTCTTTCAAAAGAGAGGCATTCACATTATTTGACTGCCCTCTCTCTTCCCTTCCCCCCTCCAACAAAGAGGGAAATTCGAATGAATGTATAAGTTTGAATTAGGGGTTTTAAACAATAAGGAGAAGTAAAAAAAAGAGTGTCAAAAACGTCAAAAAGAACAAAAGACTAAGAAAAAAGAGAATGGATGCTTTCAATGCGCAACACTTGATTGTGTATGAAGAAAGCATCATCTCCTTCTTCCTCCTCCTCTTTCAACCACATCTTCCTCTCTTTCGTCCCTCAATAGTT